GCCCACCTTGAGCCCGTAGTCGCGCGCCGCGTCCCACACGAACTTCTTGCTGACTCCGCCTGCGCCGACCAGCAGCAGCTGCTTGCCCTTCATGAGGCTGCGTGCCGAGCGCCTGAGCATGGTTTCCACCAGCGGCGCCGCCGCCGCCGCCTCAGCCGCCGGCCCCATGCGTGGTGCGGCCCACAGCCCCTCGAGTGCGCCGCACGCCTCCAGGCAGAGGCCGCTGTTCAGCTCCAGGGCCACGGGAGTCAGCGTGCGGCCGGTCACTGTCAGCGCGAAGTCCACGCCTGGCGAGCAGAGACGGGCTCAGCACGGCCGCCGCGGCTAGGCCCCGGCCCGGGCCGCCCGCGCCCGCACTCACCCAGCACATCGGTGTGGACCTGGCGCCCGCCGCGTTGCTCGGTGCTCAGGCCGGCCTCCAGGGCCAGCACAGCGGCCAGCGCGGCCTCGGCCGCCACCTTGACGCGCTGCCGCACGGCCTCCACCTGTGCCACCTCGCCCAGGCCGCACTGGGCCAGCGCCACCTCCAGCGTCCGCGGCAGGGAGCTATGGTGCCGCAGCGGCTGGTCTCCGCGGCCCACGGCGCACACCACCTGGGCAGGGCACGGCTCAGGGGCACTGACCCAAGAGGGGCCCTCCGAGGATTCCCCCCCCCACCCCACACACATACCTCCCCTAAGGCCAAGACCCAGGCCAGACCCCTCGGCAGGCAGTCCAAAATCTCCGTCCCCTAATGTGACTTAAGCTGCACAAACCACCCACCCTTGTCGCTCCCCAGACCTCTTCAGGGTTCTACCCAGGCTTCCAGGCCGAGCTGGGGTTCTTGCTCCTAACTCCTGCAGCCCTGGGGGTCTGTACCACCCTGCTGTGCCCCAGCCCTAGCATCTACCCTGGAAGCCTCTCCCTGACTCTCCCTGGGAGCTCCCTCAGGGCAGGGACAAATCCTCCTAGGTTCGGTGTGGAGCTGGGTGCCCAGCAGGGTCCCCAAAGCCTTCCTGGAGCCCCTGGCTTGGAGACCCTCCCACAGGGCCCCAGGCACTGGAGTTGGTTGGGGACCCTGGGTCTGCCTTCCGTGAGGGCGAGGGCTCCCTGGGAAGAAGATTCCCCTGGGCCCTGGGCCTCAGCTTAGGGCTAAGTGCAGGCGCAGGGGCTCCCGATGCAGGAGGGGTGCAGGGAGGGTTGGAGAGGGAGAAAGTGTCATGCCCAGGAGGCCCCCCAACAGGCAACCAGAAGCCCGCAAGATTTTGCCTTCCCCTCTCTGCCCAGAGTCTGCCCAGGGCCCTGGGCGGGTGAGTGGGGCTGGGCTTGGGTGTGGCAGGTAGGGCCCCCAGCTGGCCCAGGCTTTGCTCACCTTGCTCAGCAGGGGTCTGTCACCCTGTGTGCAACACACCACCGCACAGATGCGAACAGCCAGCTCGGGGCCCGGCAGGGGGTTGCCTGGGGGAAGACAGGAGGCCTAAGCCCAGCCCAGAGCAACCAGGAGGCCGGGCCCAGCCCTCACCCCAGAGGCCCAGGAGGCCCTCACCTAGGTTGGGCGGCCGGGCAGGTGGGCACACAGCCTCCACCAGGACACTCTCCTCCTCCTCCAGCTTCTCCAGCAACACCAGCACCGTGTCCACCACCGCACCCAGCTCTGCCCTTGGGTGCAGACGCAATGCCTGCCGCCCCCGCCAGCGCCAGCCACTGAGCTTCACGGCCACCTGCAGCAGGGAGGGCAGAGAGGCCTCCTCACCATCACCCGTGTGCGTGCAGGTGGGATGCTCATACCCCAGGAGCCAGGAGTAAACGGAGCTAAGAAGGCGGGGGTTGCCACAGCAAGATGGGGCCACCTTCCCAGCAGGACTTGGGAACCATCCCCAGGGCCCATCCTCCGGGCATCTGCCCAGGCCTCAGGGTGAGCAGAGGCCTGTTACCTGCAGGGCGTCCCCCAGGGCCTCCGAGTGCAGAAAGGCCCCCACTTCCTCCTTCACCAGGGCCTCCTGGCCCTCTTTGCCGCTCAGCTCCACCAGCCGCAGTCCTGGGCTGGCCTCCCCACCCCACAGCAACCCCAGCGGCTTGTAGGTAAAGGCCAGGGTAGCTGGCACGGCCACACCCCCCTGCCGGACCAGCAACTGCCTGGTCAGCAGCCGGTCCTCCAGCAGCCGGGCCATCTCGGCCGAAGTGCCCGTGGGGCAGGCCAGGTCACGGGCCAGTTCTGCTGCCTCTCGACTCCAGCCAGGCCCTGGCCCCAGGTCTGCCAGAAAGTAGGTGGCCCGGCGTGGGGGCACAAAGTGGTCCAGGAATGTCAGGCCCCCCGGGTGGAAGCTCACGGCCTTGGAGACCAGCAGGGCCGCCTCACCCGGCTGCCCGGGCGCTGGCACCTTCGTCAGCCAAGCAGGGGACACGCAAAGGAGCATGTTTCCTGTGGGCAGAGGGGGCAGGCGGCTGGCCAGGAGAGGTCTAATGCCCCCAGGCCCTCCACCTCCAGCCCGGGCCCGAGGAGTGGGGGGCAGCTGCTCTCAGAACCCACCCCCACCCAGAGCAGGGCAGCTGTCCGCTGGAATGCAGGCTGTTGCCAGGGTCGGAGGGTATTTTGGGATGCGGCCGGGCCACGGCAGGGCTGTCCTTTCTGTAGGAGGGGGTGGGGGAACTCGGGCACACACTCACCCGGGCTCTGGACGCCACCCTCCAGCAGCACGGACAGGAAGGTGCTGGGTGATCCCAGAATGCACAGGGTCACCTCTGCCCCAGGGCAGCCTCGGGGGAAGAGAATAGGACCCAGCTCACCAGGGGCTCTCCTGGCTGCCTTTCTGCCCACCTCCCGCTCTGCATCCCTCTGCCCTCACCCTTGGGCCTCTGGTTGTTCCCGGGATTGGATGAGAGGCGTCTGGGGGACAGAAAGGAAGCTGGATAGGGAACGGGAAGCCCTCCCTGCCCGGAAGGCTGGCTCCCTTCTCTCTGCTGCTCGTCTGGGTGGCACTGGAGACTGGGTGTCAGGAGACCTGGATTCTAGCCTGGGCTCTGCCGGTGACTTTCTGTGTGACCTTGGAGGAGCCACTGTCCCTCTCTGGGCCTCAATTTCCCAGTCTGTTCAATGGGAGTAACCAGGATTCTCGTGTGTTCTAGCTGTTAACCCTCTGTCCAAGCAAACTCTTTTGTGGCCACCTGCTATAGCAAGCAGATAAAGCAGGGGAGGAGCCTGGGTTCCTAACTCTTCCTCAGCTGCCTCCACAGCTGCTCCCAAGACCCTTATCTAGACACTTCGGCTCCCCCAGAACCTGGTTGGCAAATCCCAGGGCTGGATCTTCTGGGGTGGGCAGGGGACCACAATCCCTGCCTTTATTGGTTCCAGGTGCTCTTGGAAACATGGCTTGTCTGCCTGCTCAGGGTGAATGGCCATGCTGCCCTGGTTTCAGGCAGACCCAGAGCCGGGGAGAGGCCACTCTTGGCACGTACCCCTCTGCCCCCCTGGAATGGGAAGCAAGCTGGACCGAGGGCACCTCCCTCCTCCCCCAAGTGCCCCCCTTCATGGAGCCCTTGGGCACCTGTGCGGGGCACCTGGCTGCGGTCCTGGGTCTCCGGGAAGCCAGCGTGCTGCAGGCAGGTCTGTAGGAGCCTGTAGTGGTAGGCCGTCCAGGCCTGGGCCTCGGACCCCTCAGGTGAGCCCTTGCAGTCCAGGCCCACGTCCTGGCGCCAGGGGCCAGGGAGGCAGCCTGCGGGCGGCAGACCAGAGCCCCCTCCCCATGGGCCCTCCTCGTCCTCCAGGTCCTTGGAGCCCAGGGGCCTGTCCCAGTCGGGACACAGCGGATCCAGGGAGAGCTGAGGGGGCAGAGGGGGTGGGTCTTGGGCCGGCAGGGCAAGGGGGCACATCAAGTCACCCAGGAGCCCAGATCCTCCTCCTGCCCTCCAACCTTGAGTTATGTTCGGGACAGATCCTGTCCAGAGGACCAGGAGAGACTGGAGTGGGTTGGGGGAGTGGAAGCTGGTCACCGGGCCATACGTGTGGGAGTGCTTTGTAAACTGTTGTGTGCAGTGCCCCGGGTCAGGGGAGGGCAGCCGTGTGGGTCCTTCCTCCCACACAGGCTCTGCCCTGGCTCGGCTCACAGGCGGAGCTTTTTGTCTGTTTTGTTCATTGAGGCAGCCTCAACACCTCAAACCGTGCCTGGTGCCCAGGAGCTTTTGCAGAAATGTTCGTTGAACCAAAACTAAATAAACAATGCACCAATTAATGACCCCGGGCTGCTCGCTGCTCTCTGGGCCTCAGTGGCCCATCTGCCATCATGGAGTTCTATGGGACCAAGTATCCCCGGAAGCCCCGCTGTGCACCCAACCTGGCGCAAGGCATGGGGAGGAGAAAGGCGGTGCCCCTGTTTTCCGGTGTTTCGAGTCAAGGAAACGTTTTCTGCCGGTGAGGTCATCCCCCCCTGCCCCTCTCTGAGATGGGGGCTGGCCGTTCCCTGGCTGACAACCACACAGGACTGCTGGAGGCTCAGTGTGAACCCAGGTGGGGACACTTATTCCTTGCTGTCCCCCGGCCTGGAGCGGGAGGCCTGGCAGCTGGGCACGTTGCCACCTCGGGCACGTTGCGAGGACTCTCTGGGCCTTGTAGGTGCCTGGCGCCTGCCCTGTGCAATCCCGGGGTGCTGCTGCGGCTTGAACCAAGATCACCTTCGTTGCTGTGGCCAGGAGGGCAGAGGTCTGGACCTCAGGGCTGGGCGTGAATCCCAGCTTGCCAGGGCTAACCTCTGAGCTTCCGCTCTGCTCAGAAAGTGGGCTTCCTGCTATGCCCCCAAACCTAGAACGCTGCTGGGTGCGTAGTAGGTGCTCAGGCAGGACCTGTTGCTGGATGAGTAGATGTGGAAGGGGACTAACGGTGCCCACTTCCCAGAGCTGGTGGGGAGACATGGAGGCTGCTTCTCCTAGGAGAGGCAGGGTGGGGAGTCTGGCCGTGGGTCTGAGCCGTGTGCACAGGGCAGCCCCAGGGTTAGCCTCTGGGAGTCGGCCACTGCCAGCTGGACCCTCCCTCTGTCCATGGTCTTGGGCCTTGGGGGCAGGGACCAGAAGAGACTCACCATCTCACAGGTGGAGAGGCTGAAAGACTGATGGCAGAGACAGAGGGACAGAGAGACAAAGCAGGGGGTCAGGGCACCTGGGTCCCTACCCCACCCCCCAGCCCCAAAGACTTCGGGGGGTGGACAGGTGGCCGCCACTGTGCCTCTGTCCTGTCCCAGCAAGGAGGCTTCCAAGGCTGCCCCACCCCCACCCCAAGGAGGCAGAGGGATTTCTGTGCCAGGATCCCAAGGACCTGCACCCCAAGGGTCCTGCACCCCTGAGCTCACAGATCTGGGGCTGCGCGGGGCAGTGTGGGGGCAGGGGGGGTTCTGGCCCAGCTCAGCCCCTCCAGCGGGAGGCGCCTGGTCTCCTTTTGTCGGGGACAGGGCTGAGGACCCTGCTGGGGGCGGGTGCCCAGGGTCTCTGTCCCCGCGGCCCCTGCCCCAGCAGCCCCCCTTCCTGGCTCGCCCATGCAGGGGGCGGGAGCTGGGGTACCTGCGGGCGCAGCGGCTCGGTGGGCGGCAGGGCTCGGCAGGCGGGCAGGCAGCGGGTGGCTGGGTGACAGCGGCAGCGGCACAGGGCCGGGCTGGGGGCGGCGCCGCCTTTTATAGCCGTGGCTGGGGCATGCCCAGTGGGGCGCGGCGGCTCGGGGCCGGCGGGGGTCAAGTTTAGCCCAGCCAGCCTGGACAGACGTACCACACCCGCGACAAGCCCAGCTCCCTCCCGCCAAAACTTTCTCAGTCAGTCCTGAGACCTGGGGCACTGGGGGCTGGGGAGGTCTCAGACAGGCCAGGGGCAGAGAGCGGCCAGGAGGGACAAACTTGGAGGGACAGACGGGGGATCTTCAGCAACAGTAAGTGGAGACGCAGGGCCAGGTTCAAATGAGCAAGGACCGTCCGAGAGGGTCACAGACACAGGTCTGGGGGAAGCAAAAGACAGGGCTTAGGGCCAAGGACAGACACAGTTTATGGCAGAGAGAGGTGGGAGGGATGGAAGCAGGAGGGCGGAGGGAGGAGGCAGGGAGAGGCAGAGGCTGGTGCAGGCAGAGACTGGTACTAGAACCCGCCCTCGGCGGTGAGGTGGCCCAGGAGCGGCTGAGCAGGGCACACAGTGGAGCCTGCCCTTGGACCCAGTCCTGGGCCCCCAGCACTCCTTGCCCACAGCTGTCTGTCTGAGCAACAAGCACCTGGCCCCACTGCAGCCGCTCCAGGACAGGCGCTCCTCTCCTGGTCCCCTCGGTCTAGGGGGGTCCCCTTGCCAGAGTGAGGGTGTCTCAGGTCAGTCCCACATGACAGCAGTCCCAGGCCCCAGGGGCACCCTCTGCCCTGCAGGGGGCCAGGCAGGGGACTGGCCAGGCTCATAGGGATCCCAGTGGGTCTGAGCACAGAAAGGGGGTGTCTGCAAGATCGCCTGCCCAGGAACACACAGGTCAGCTGCACACCACAGTCACACCCACAGTCACCGCAAGACACAATACTTCCACCCAGTTACACCCACCCAGTTACACCCATGCAAACACACAGAAATATGCCCCAGAGACCTGGCTCACAGCCACAAATTCACCCAAAGAAACACACCCAGAGAAACCCACCCTCTCCTGGAGTGTGTCACCCCAGCCGGGTGCTGATCCTAGCTCTGGCTGGGGGCAGGGGCGCCTCCCTTCTGGATCTGAACCCCACTTTTCCGTCTCACAGGGTCTGGCACCCCGCACCCCCCCCCCAACTCCCACTCTTTCTCTGACCGTCTCGGCGTTGGAGCCCCTTGGCCTGCCCTCTGTGAGCCTCCTAGGCTGGGGTAGAGGGCTGAGGGGCTGTAGACGAAGTCAGCCAGCCCTGGGGCACCTGGGGCACTCGTGGGGTGGGAGGAGAGGGGCCAGCTTTGGGCGCTGTCTGCAGCTATATACAGAGCATCTTCTGAAGACCCACCCCTGCCACCACTGGGGGCTCCATGAGGGAAGAGACTTATCCAGGGTCCCCCAGCCCAGCCCCAGATCCATACACAGCCTTCCTTGCAGGTGGCCCGGCTCCCTAGGTGCAGCCCCCCAGAGATCCACTCCTGGCCCCTCAGAAGATTCATGGCCTGCTGCATGGCTGGCCTGAGCTCCAGCTGATCCCATGGGGGTGGGGGGCAGGGGTGGTGCTCAGATGTCACCCAAAGAGCATGAGCTTTGACACCTAACCAGCTATGCAGCCTCTGGGGCCCTCAGTTTTCTCATCCGCAGAATGGGGATTACAATGCATACTTTAGCCCAGGCTCGGGTGGGCAGGGCGCCTGGCAGGCAGCACTCGGTAGTAGTATCAGCGGCTGCTGCATGAGCTCTTTCCAGGCCCTGTACGGAGGACTCTACGTCAGTGTGGCATTTGACCCCCTGAGGTAGGACCCTCTCGGACCCTCTGCCTTTTACCTGTTACCGCTGAGTTGATTCCGACTCACAGCGATCCGGTAGGACAGAGCAGAACTGCCCTATAGGGTTTCCAAGGAGTGGCTGGGGGATTCAAACTGCCGACCTTTTGGTTAGCAGCCGAGCTCTTAGCCACTGGGCCACCAGGGCTCCCTCTGCCTTTTACAGGTGAGGAATCAAGGCTCAGAGAGGTGGCGTGACTTATCCAAGGTCACATAGCTGGGGAGAGCCAGAACTGGGGTCTTCCCTCTGCCAGAGCCTGCGTGAGGTGCTGGGTCTGACCGCCTCCAGGCTCCTGCCCGGCACAGTGTCCCGTGCAGACCAGGAGCCTCGAGTGTCTGCTGGCTGGTCCCTAGGTGCCCCCACCTGCCCCCACTCTCTCCCCGTGCACACACGCTGTGCAGAGGGCAGTGGGGTTTGTGCCCACTCCCTGGTCACCCTGGCTGGGCACTGCCACGCTGGTGGTTGCCCTGTGGACCCCTCAGCTCAGGCTCCCCATGGAGATGGCTGAGAATGGGACCTGCAGAGGGCTGCCCAGAAAATGCTTCCAGGGGCAGCGTCTCAGCCTAACTGGGCCTAAAGGCAGGGTCCCTGCTGGAGACCACCTGCCACCAGGGCCTCCCTTCCAGCCACATGGTGGAGTCCCAGGACCGGGGCTGCGGCTGCATTCTCCATCCCCTACTCTCTAGCAAGGTGGGAGAGGCACAGGGGCTGAGCGCTGGAGGGCAAGGTGCTTATGGCAGACCCCAGGGGCAAGTCCCCACCTGAGCTGCGACAGTGCCTGGAACCCACCATTAATCGCCCTCTAGAGCTGAGGCGTTGTCTCTGGAAGGCACAGAAGGTCTGCACCGTGGCCGGCTGTGCCCCTCAGTGTGCTCCTGGGCTGGGCACTCAACCTCTCTGAGCCGCCATTCTGCCTTCCTCTCCCGCGGCTCTCAGGACCACCAGCAGAGAAGGGGTGTGGTTTGAGAAAGGGTTTAGTGGACTGCAGGGAAGAGGTGGGTGCCCCAGTGAGATGTGGAGAAGCAAGGGAGGGCTTTGGAGCCCTCAGGGGCCCCAGCTGCTGCCCACACTCAGAGGGGCTGGGGCAGGGCTGCAAAGTGGGGGGCAGGAAGGAGAAAGCCCCAGAAGGGAAGGCCAAGGTGTAGGCGGGACTACTGATGGTGAGTGTCAGCAGAAAACTTTGGATCTGCTAAGGGACATGAGGCCTTGGCCAAGTCCTTCCCCTCCTGAGCCTCCGTTTCCTCCAGGGCAGGCTCTGCAGATATGGGTGGGGAAACACCCAGGATTCCCTCCTCCAGGCCGTAGGCTCCTTGGGAGTGAGACAAGTCTTCTCCGGGACCAGGGCTTGGCCTGGGACTTAGTAGGCACCACTGAACGCATGTAGAGTGAGTGTGTTCTGGAAGCCTGTGGCCCTGACACTAGAACATTCCAGATCCGGGCACACTACCTTCCAGGTTCTGACAGGTGGCCACACCACTGTTCCAGCCCCGTCATTGGAACATCTGGGAGGAACACTCCACCTAATGGTCTGCCACTGAAGTGTGGGACTGGACGCTTCCTCGTGGTACTCCGGAGTCCTGCCATGTGCCCCCCCCACCTGCTGGAGAAGATGGCCTTGGGAGGCAGGGACACTGGGCACTCGGGAATGGGCCCTGCAGGGACACGAGCCTGCAGCAGAACCAGCGTCGTCCTGGCGATGGCTCACGTCCCAGGCACCCCGGGCCCCCGCGGGGGCAATTAGAAGGTGTGGGAGGGGGTTTCCATGGCGGCAGCCCCAGGGGGGTTGCAGCTAAGGCTGAGGGAGGGGGCAAGAGCCGGCAGGGCCTTTCTCCTTTGTCCTGGGCACACTGGGCCTTTGTTCCTGCCTGGCTCCCTTGGAGAGGCGGGAGCAGGCCCATGGGTGGAGGGTGTGGACTTGGGTTAGAGTCCCCCACCCCTAGGGGTCCTGACAGGCCTGGAGAAGGAGAAGGAGAGGCAGAGGAGGGGATGGGGCCCCACTCCTGGGCCCAGCATCCACCAGGGGCGCCCTCCCACAACAGGTTTGACAGCCCTACCTGCCCCCAGAGGCTGGGCAAGGTGGCCTACGGCAGGCTCTGGTAAACACCTTCCTGACAGCCACTGGGAAGTCTCCTGGTGTCCCTGGGTGGGAACCAGGTCTGGGCTAGGACAAGGTGGGGTTACAAGGGGAGGGAGGGGATAGGGCAGCATGGGGGGCATTTGATTCAACCCCAGGTTTCTGCTCAGTCAGACTTTATTCCAGGCCTCCTGGGAGCCCAACCAGCTGCCCTCACCCCACCTTCCACACATGCAGGAACCCAGGCATCACCACAGCTCCCTGGGCAAATGGTGCTGGTCCCAGCCGGCCCCACTTGGTCACCTTCCTTCACCGTTGTGCCCGGCATGGGGTCAGGAATCAATCTGTCCGTGAAATGGGGGGCTTCCACCCTCTGGGAAGGGAGCTGAGGGAAAGCCGACCACCACGTAAAGTGCAGTGCCCACCTTTGGGACCAGCCGTTCAGGCCCTCCAGCTAGGCACAGAGTTCATGGAGCCCTCAGAATCGGGTGTCCAGGAAGGAGGTGGAGCCCCGATGAGCCCTGGAGGGACCCTCGAGGGGTGGGCCCCAGGCCCGAGTCAGGAGTCCGTGAAACGTCTTGCCTCGGGTCTGGGGCTTGCGCCGAGGCGTCCTGGGCTCCTCTGGGGGCTGCACCACGATGCGGGGCACCTCAGGGCCGGGCCTGGCGCCTCCCTGTGCCCCTGCCAGCTGCTGGGCCTCGAAGATGGCTGGGGCCCCCGCGAGGCGGGCCTGTGGCCGAGGAGGGGGCCCAGGAGCCGACTTGGGCAGCTGGCCCAGCTGGGCCCGGATCTCACGCTGCAGGTCATGTTCGGACAGGGCCACGCTGTGCACCTGTGGGAGAGGCTGGTGCCAAGTTTGCCCAGGCTGTGGGGCGGGGGCAGGAAACCAGAAGGCCCCCTCAGGCAGTCAGGACACAGCCCCAGGAAATGGCTGAGGGCTGAGGGGCTGACAGACACCCTCGCAGGAGGAGCCCCAGAAAGCCACTTGAGGCTTCGAGCTCTCACGTTCTCAGCATCTGAGAGGACAGGAACTGAGCCTCACTCCTCGCTTTGGTTTCCTGCTCTGTGGCTCAGTTTCCCCAATTGCGTAATAAGGGCTGGGCCGTTGTACAGGGTGGGCAGGGAGTACCCACCTGGGACATGAAGACCTCCTCCTGTAGCTGGGTCGGGGGGATGGTTCGAAGGGCACCAAGCGTCTCCAGGATCCCCGGGCAGGCCAGGCGCTGCTCGGCGGTACCCAGCGCCAAGCGCACCAGTGTCAGCCCCACACGGAACAGCACCTTTGCACCTGCAGGCCAGGGGCTCCATCAGCGGGAGGCCAGCCTGGCCCCTCCTCCTGCACCTGAGCCTACCCTCAGACAGACTCCTCCTACCTGCCTGCAGCTCGGCCCCTCAACTCAGGCCAGGAGAAAGGATTGAGTTGGATTGCAACTTGGGGGGCACAGGCCCCTGCACTGGCCCAGCAGTCTCAGAAGCCCCAGACACTTATAGGCAGAGTCACCTACCAAGAGCAAGGAGCTACCGAGAACCTTCAAGCCTTCTCTGGGCCTCAGTTTCCTCTTCTCTACAAGGAAAGGTCAGCTGGGTGCCCTTTAGGCCCTTCCAGCTTGGGTCTACGATCCTCTGATTCTAGCCAGGGTCTAGGTAGAGCTCCTTATCCCTAAGTCAAGAGCATGGTGGGTCTGTGCATGTGGACACACATACACACGCCTGCACATGTGCACACATGCACACAGATGTTCGTGCACAGACGTGCATGCGCACACACGCACCCATGCACACAATGTATGCACGTGAGTGCACTGCACGCAAGTGCACATATGGGCGTGTGTGACCTTGGGCCGGTCCCCTACTCGGAGCCTCAGAACCCTCGCCGGCAGCCTCAGATCTGCTGGGAAGAGCAACCCAGGAAACAGAGAGGCCTAATAACAATGGTGACTTGTGACAGGACAGTCGTGACTACTAATGCCATCATTATTAAAGGGAGCCTGTGGCAGGGTTTGGCTCCAGCCCGTCCTTGTCACTGCGGTGAGGAGATGTCAGGGATCAATCAGTTCAGCCACACTGATCAGGCCCCACTTGTCCCGCCCTCAGCGTCTAAGGCTGGAGGTGACATGTAGATGGCACTTGGACACCCCACAGCTCTAAGCCAGCTCACGGGTCTCTCCCTGGGGAAAGGCCTGGGTTCAGTAAATGTACTGACTGATTTCTACCATTTTGAGGCACATCCACTGGACATTCCATATAGATTAGAGTGAGGTTTGTACACAGGAGGCTACTGAGGGGGTGTCAGAGAGTCCAGCTCAGCTGCCCGACTCCCCCCATTCTGTCCCAGCCCCCAGCGTCCACCTCTGGCTTCTCATGTCTCCACACCCCTCCACCTCTGTCATCTGCTGCCGAGGCCCTGTACACACCCTCCTCCCAGGCCTCCCCAGATCAGCCAGAAACACCTCTGATGCAGCATGGCCTCCTGCCGCTCCCATGACACTCTGTCCCATCCCCTTGTTATATTCTCTTCCTGGCACTGAGAACGATCTATAAATATCTTGGTAATGTGGTTCTTGGCGCCTCCCACTCCCAATAGAATGTAGGCCTCGCTCCCGAAGGTGGTCCCAGCTCCCAGAGCAGGGCTTGGCCCCCGTGAGCACTCAGCAGTGCTGTCGGCTCCAAGGCGAGGGCCTCGTAGGTCTGCTGAGCCCGCCACCTGCCCCCATCCCAGAGACAGTCATGCCTCACGCCGTGGCACTCGCTGGCTCCTACCCCATCAGCCGCCTGCAGAAGCTTCCCTGGCCCAGCCTCCCATGGTGGGGGGCAGGGGGGTCTGAGTCATTACACTGCCATTGTCTTCCCCACGGGACCGGGCACGGGGGGCAGCAAAGGTGGAACAAATGAGTCCGACAGATGGGCTGTGACATCTGCATTGCCATCACCTTCATCCCAGCCGGCACCTGGGTTCCAGGCCCCAGGAGGGGCAGGGTCAGCAGCTGCAGAGCTGCTGGACCCCGAGCTGGGGCGCCCGATCTCTGAGTGCCCCACCAAGGCCCCCGCCTGGCGCGCTCGCCCCACTCACCCTCGCTAAGGAAGGCGTCCCAGATGCGCAGCACCGTGGGGAAGGGCAGGGAGCGGGCGAAGAGGCACAGGAACCACTCGGGCAGGTAGAGCAGGGGCCCGACGCCCACCTGCTGCAGGTGTTTGTGCACCCTCGGGAGGAGCCTCCGCAGCAGGGCCGCGAACACCTGGGCATCCAGCTGCACTGCCTCCTGCCCCGTTGTCAGCTGGCCGTCAGCCCTCCACCCCAGCCAGCCAGGCCTCCTTTGCCCCCAGGCCCCCCACCCGCCTGTCCCATCCCCTCCCATCCACAGGTTTCCCTTCCCAGCCTCCCACCCTCCGGGCCCCCCATCCCGTCTCTCACCATGTGAGGCCCGTAGTAGCCGGGAAGGTAGGCCTCACAGATCTGCACCAGGCACCAGAAGGCCTCCTGAGGGGGAGGGCCGGGCGGTGAGTGCCCGCCTTGGGAGGAATGCAGGGCAGGAAGAAGCGGCACGGGGCCTAGAAACCTAGGACTCAGGGACTCAGAGCTGCCCGTACCCTGCTCAGTGCCTGGGGGGCTCTTCCCCAAAGCCCTCCCCTGTGCCCCAGTTGGGGGTCTGATGATAGCTTTAGGGGGTTGGAAGTCATAGGGCTCAGAATGTTGAATTTGAATGTGTCAGGGTTGGAAGGGTCTCAAAGTTCAAGTCCTGAGTTCCTGGGGTCAGGGATCATGGTCACAGGGTTTAGAAGCAGGAGTCATGAGATCAAGGTGATAAGGCCCAGACCTCTGAATCATTGGGGTAGGGGTCAAGGGTCAAGGATCCCAGGTTCCTAGAGTCAAGGTCATGGGGGCTGAAGGTCCCTGAGGTTGGTGGTCATGATGCCTGGGCCACGCAGACAGGGTCTGGGAGTCAAGGATCTCAGGTCCCTGAGACCAGAGTCCCTGGGGTTGGAGGTCAGGAGTCCATGGCTCAGGATCACTTGGGGCCTGGATCACTAGGGTTTGGGGTCAGGGTCTCAGGTTCCTGGAGCAGGGCCAAGGGCCACTCACCTCCGGAGGCAGGTGCATGAGCAGCACAGCAGCCACGGGGCCCTGGGCCTGGCAGTAGCCCTGTTCCGGCCGATACAGGGTGTAGGCCTTGAGTACCTGCAGGAGCCCCTGCTGCCTGTGCCAGGAGACCTCGTTAGGGCCAGTCCCCAGGCACCCTTCCCCCTCTGGCAGCCTCTGGCCAGGTCTCAGCCCCCCTGGGCCTTGCCAGCTCCCCTGAGATGTAGGCGTGGCGGGCTGGGGTCGGGTACCGGGGCATCACTGGCTCGTACCCGTGACCCTGGGGTGACACAAACATCTCGTGCAGGGGGAACTGGCGGTGCAGGTCCCTGCCGATGGTCTCCATCCACTGGGGGTCTCCAGGGGCTGAGGCCAGCTCCTGTGTGGGCAGGCAGGCAGGTGGGCGTGAGGGCTCAGAGGGGCTCTGGGAAGGGGAGGCGGGACCTCAGCCAAGTCCCTCACCTGATAGGTTCTGGGGCTGTTCTCCTGACACACGTGGGCCCCGCACAGCAGGGGCCAGCAGCGGGCCCGCAAGGCTGAGGGGATGCCTTTCCGGCACTGCATCTTCACCTGTGGGCAGGGGCCGATTCACGAGTAAGCAAGGTACGCACTGGCTTAATTGTGCTTACTTACTAATCTGTAGTGCCCAATTTCATATGGGTTTCACATGTGAAGTGGCAGAAAGGCCAGACCTCTGTACAGAGACCCAGTAGCCCCAGGCAAAATGGTGCACTACGGATTAGTAAGTAAGCACCAGGAAGCCCGTGCATACCTTGTTTATTGGGTAATCCGTCCCTTCCTGTGGGAGAGGCCTAGGGTTCCACGACGCCACGTGACTTATTGTTAAGAAGGGACCACTTTGGGTGGTAGGGAGCAAAGGCAGGAGATGCTGGGTCACAGGATGGGTAAGTTCTGTGGGGGTAGGGGTGACCAAGGCAGAGGGGTGCAGACACCGGGTGCAGACACTGTCCCCTCACCTTCTTGTACCGCCGGGACATGGTCTTCTCCCAGTGCAAGGTCATTTCCACCCACTTCATTTCCCGCTGGCGGATAAGGTCTGCAGAGGCGTGACCTGGGCTGGGGGCACATGGCACAGGATCCAGGTGCTGGGCAGCTATTCCCTGGAGCCCACACCTACCACCCTCCATGTTACCCAGGTAAGCCCAGCTCCGGGGCCTGGGATCTCTCGGGAGCCCTGGGGGGTGACCTGTGACCCAGGAGTTGCCAATGGTTGTCATGGGGACAGGAAAGGATGTGGCTCTGATGTGGGCGGAAACCCGAGAGACCGACGAGACCAAAGGGATGTGGGAGTGTCTGTTGGGGGAGGGGTTGGCTAGCCTTCCCCCCAAGACAGGGACAGATAAGTCACAAGGGAAGCAGGTTGGACAGAGCCCTGGACTGGATGCCAGGAGTCCTACGTCTGAGAGTCTCTGATCTGCTGTGTGACCTCAGGCAAGTGTCTGTCTGTCTCTGGACTTGTTTTCCTGTCTGTTTGTTTAGGGAGAGGGGGAGGGAGATATTGCAGGTTCTTTGGTTTGGATCTGGGATTCCTAGGCCAAAAGTTAAAAGCAGAAGGATGTTTAGCCCCAGTGGTGGGTGTCAGCCCTCAGGGATTTGAGGGTACAAGGGACATACAGGGATTCCCTCCCAGCCATTCCCGCTTCAGGGTTCTACCTGGAGCTTGAAAAGAGGTGATACTGGCTGAGTCCCGTTCCCTACCGCCAGGTCCTCCCAGGATGCTTTAAGTTGGACCTCACTCCAGAATTCAGCCCTCAGATCCCATCCTCAGCCCAGGCACCCACACCTCCCCCGTCACTTACCATGGCTCTGCTGAGCTGCTCCCGATGAAGCCATAGCGGTCAGCCTGGCGATATGGGCCGGGCCCACTCACCTCCGAGTCAGACCCCAAAGAGCTGGAGTCGTCCTGCAGCTCAGAAGGCTGCACCAGGTCCTCCCCCAGGGCCTGGGCCATGCTGCCCCCGACCCCAGATGCCACCAGCTGCAAGATGCAGGGAGAGCCCACGTAAGGGGCAGTTCCCAGCCAGCCTGGGGCCCAGGCTCCCAGCCAGCCAGGCCCCAGCCCCAGGGCCTGGATGTGGGGGCAGAGGCGATAGGTTTCAGGGTATCTCACCAAGGCCCCTGCGTCCCCTCTTTTTCGGGGGTGGGGTGACTAGGCCCTGAAGTGGCAGAAAGGCCAGACCTCTGTAAAAGTCCCAGCCCCAGGCCCAGCCGCTGCCCCCGCCAGCCCAGCTCACCTCCCAGCTGCACCTCGCCTCCTCCTCTCACACTTCCTCCTCAACAGCACGCTGAGGGGCCCCTCCCAAGTGGGGAGGTCACCCCTTCCTCTCTGAGGCTCTTCCTGCCTGCCCTAGTGCCCCTGAGCCACAGCCCCTCCCAACCTCCCACGGGCGGCAGATGCGGGTTCCTGTGCCTCACGTGTGGGGCTGGGCCTGCCGGAGGTAGAGAGGCCAGGCTGTCTCCAACTCTGAGATTCTTGGCATATAAGACATCCAAGTTAGGGTTCCAATAAGAATTACGGTTTATTTACTGTTACTCTTTACAAAGTTACGCTTTTAAGGCGTACATAATGCATGCACGTCGTTTAATTGTGCTACTCACAAGGTAATTATACGACTTCAGAAATATTCATTTAGCCGGCACCACCGTGGTGCAGTGTGGACGAGAACGGGCTCTAAGGTCAGGGACAGGTTGTCTTTGGGTCTGGTCGGCGGCCCGGTGGCTGCCGGGGAAACTCAGGAGAATGAGACCCTCCGTGAATGTGAGGCCACCATCTCAGGCCAGTCCTTTGCTATCTTAGAGCCTCAGTTTCCTTTTCTGCACTTCTGGGACTTAACCCGCAGCGTTTGGGGAGACGGACAGGGCTAGGTTCGTCGCGGTTTTTAACGCGCTCGTACCACCTTCCCTCCCGGGGCAGCGCTGGAAAGGGCTGTTTAGTCTTTGAAAGACAAAACCAATCTCCACAGGACCTCTGCTCCCAGACCTCGGAACAGGGCTGGGTTACTCTCGGGGGCGGGACCAGACGCGGCCCCGCCCACAAACCCCGCCCCGCGAGCTTCAAGTCAGGCTCCACCCCACCCCGCAAAACCCCGCCCACC